AAACAAATCAGCAGCAACATGAAACAAATCAGCAGCAACATGAAACAGATCAGCAGCAACATGAAACAAATCAGCAGCAACATGAAACAGATCAGCAGCAACATGATGTGATTTTTTTCACAGTGATTATTCTGGTTAGAGATTCATGAGTCTAACAGCCTCAGGGTAGAAGCTGTTCCTCAGTCTAGCGGTTCTACACTTAATGCTCCTCAACCTCCTTCCTGAGGGGCACGGGGCAAAAAGTGTGTGTGCTGGGTGAGTGGGGTCCTTCATGATGCAAGTGGCCCTCTTCCTGCATCTAGAGGTGTAGATGTCTGTGATGGTGGAGAGACTGACTGACAGATTTCTGTACAGCCTTCACCACTCTCTGCAAAGCTTTTCTTTCTGCAGCTGTGCAGCCTCCATGCCACACGTTGATACTGGAGCACAGGACACTCTCCACTGCACACCTGTAGAAGGAGGTGAGGACTGAACTTCCCAGACCAGCTCACCTCAGCTGCCTGAGGAAGTTTGTTGTTTGAGTCTTCCAGAGGTTTGAGACTGAGAAGGAGGTTGACCTTTCAGCAGGACAATGATTAAAAACACACTGCTGAAGCAAAATGTTACTGGTGTCAACAAAGTGTCCTGAAATGGTCTAGTCAAAGTCCAGACCCCAGTCCAACTGGGAATCAATGGTTTGATTTTGATTATTGACCACGAGCAGCACCCATCAAACTTGAAGGAGCTGCAGCTGTTGGAACACAAAAAACAGTAAATGGTGAATGGACTGTACTTATACAGCTCCTTACGATCTCATCAAGACACTCAAAGCTCTTTACAACACAATCTGTGCCTCATTTACCATTCATACAGCACTCTACTAGATCTATACAAAGAATAATCACTGATGGGACACACATTGGAAGCAATGAGGGGTTCAGTGTCTTTCCCAGGGACACTTCAGCATGTGATTGCTGGTAGAATTGAACCCTCAACTCTCCCATTGGAGACCACTCTAACCACTCAGCCACAGCTGCCCTGCGAAAATGGTCAAAACTTCCAGCGGTTAGATGGACCAAGTTTGTAGAGACGTAGCTGACCAAACTTGCTGCCATAACTTCTGCAAAAGGTCGTAAGACAAAGTATTAAAAACATATGACACCCTCCCCCCCCATCCATATAACAATAATTATCTTGAGGATGATCTATATTACAAAGTACATACTGTATAAAGTGAAAACCCATTCAAATTACAGGGATGTAGGGCAACAAAATAGAAAATGACCAAGGGTGTGAAGTGAACACTTTTGCAGCTGACTATAAAGAGGGTTTAATTTCAACTTATAGAAGACATGGATCTAAACACATCATCATTAATAAGGTTCAGTAGAAAATGAAATTAAAGATGGTTTTTGTCTGTCAGGAATGGGGAGGAAACGTTGTCAGAGATGTTGGACAATCCGCTCTATGGCTCAATGGCAAAATCTCACGGTCAGGCCAAGGAGCAAGGCCCCCCTCAGCCGGATCGTCTCACGCCTGCAGCAGATGGAGACCCTGACCGGCCCCCGGTGCCCATCCCACGCAACCGCTCCTTCACCTGCTCCGAGAACAAACCCCAGCTTCCAGCTCCCATCAGCCTGCACCTCCCAGCACACAAGAAACCAGTTGTGCCATCACGTTCAGAGGGAGGGATGGCGCAAAGTCGACCCCCTTTGCCAAAGTCACGGCCAGAACCCCAGAGCACCAAACCCAGAGACTACAGAGACAGCTTTGAGTTCCCCAGCAAACAGAAACTGCCAGCAAGACTTAGTCCACTACCGCCTCACAAAGACAGTAAGGAACACTCAGAAGTTTCCCAGTGATTTAAATCCAAATGATGAAAACTGGTTTGTCTTTTTTCAGTGCATCTGGATCCTCCCAAGACGGGTCGTCCTGTGAACTGAGATGAGGCTGAAGTGTCAGCAGTGTCAGAGCAACTTCCTGCTGCAGTTTATGGAAACAAAATGTAGAAGGTTGTTTTAGTTATTTTCTCTTTGTGTCTTCTGTAACATTTATCTAAACACCCAACTACCACACCCTGAAACTTTCCATTTTAGGAGATAGTCAGTTCATTTTTGAAGTGATTCATTCATTTATTCATTTATTCAACCTTTGTGTGAAATAGTTGTCAGTAAGATAAGACAAGATAAGATAAGATAAAATAAGATAAGATAAGATAAGATAATCTTTATTATCATTGTACTGAAATACAGTGAGATTGTGTTTGTACAGTCGTCTGAAAGATGGGCAGAGTGCACGTTGCTGCTGCGTCTAAGAGCGCGGCCCCTTATTCTTTTAGATAGGAAAAGGGGAAAAGGCCATGAGGACAGGATAGTGGTATTACCAAAAAAGATCTCTTCATTCATTCAACCTTTATGTAAACAGGTTAGTCCCATTGAGCCGTGAGGACTCATTTACAAGAAAGACCTGGATTTTAACAAAGAGAGATGACCCAGAATGGACAAACCCAACACCCCTTCTCGAAAGGACATAATGTTTTGATATATTTTTCTGAGAATCATCATTTTACCATGTTCAGAAAAGACTGAGTTGACATTTGCTAATTTGCCACTAAATGGCACAAAATCCCCAACATGGTAATTTCCCTGTTCAATAAACAGACGTGTTTTCAGTTAATTTGTGTAAATCTAAAACTAATCTTTGCTTCCAATTAAGAGTTTTACACTATGTGTGCATTTTGAATGTCTACCACACAGTATTATCCTGCACAAACAGTTCAGCTTTTAACTTGTGTAATTAATTTCCAAATAAATTCAAATGTGAAATGTATTTTCTCTTTGTTGTTTTATTCACCTTCATTTAAACAGAATGAAACAAATTCTGCAAGAAGCAAAACAGACCAATCATTGGCCCATCATCCAGGTTTCCTTTCCTTAAAATTCACCAGAAAATCAATATTTTTAACACATTTGATACAATATGCAGTTTTGCCCAAATATAACTGATTATTATGTGACAAAATTAAAAACATTAGATGTTTTACAAAAATATCTGAAGTCATTCTGACAATAAATGTAAACATGAAAGACTTGAGAAAATCTTTGTTCCCTCAGGCCTTTGTTAGGAAAAAAGTCAGTGAGTTGCAATTAAATATCCATATTATTATCCAATATTACGTTCACAATAATTTATAAGAAGGCACGTAAATTATTCCAAAGTGACATCATTTTTTATTATCCACAACTATAGAAAGGATTTGCATAATTTGTCAAAGTGTTTTTCACCTCTATTTATAAGTTTGATTTTGTCAGGATTGATAACATAAATAAGAAGGAAGAATGTTGTGAGAAATTCAGAGAGGAGCTGTTAAAGGCTCTGGGTGGTAAGAAAGAGCTTCCAAATGATTGGGCTACTACAGTAACACTAATTAGAGAGACAGGTAGGAAGGTACTTGGTGTGTCATCTGGACAGAGAATGGATGGTAAGGAAACCTGGTGGTGGAATAGTGACGTGTAGGACGCCGTTCAAAGAAAGAGAATAGCCAAGAAGAAATACGACAGTGAGAGGACTGAAGAGAGGAGACAGCAATATAAGGAGATGGGACGTAGAGCAAAGAGGGAAGTAGCTAAGGCAAAGTAGAAGGTGTATGATGAGTTGTATGGGAAACTGGACACTAAAGAGGGCGAGAAGGACTTGTACCGATTGGCCAGACAGAGAGATCAGGCTGGAAAGGATGTGCAGCAGGTTAGGCTTATTAAAGATAGAAATGGTAATGTTCTAACAAGTGAGGAGAGTGTGACAGGAAGATGGAAGGAATACTTTGAGGAGCTAATGAAAGACAAAGAAGAGTAGAGGTCATAGAAACTGTGGACCAGGAAGTGGGAAAGATTAGTGAGGGTGAAGTCAAGAAAGCTCTGAAAAGAATGAAGAAGGGGAAGACAGTAGGGCCTGATGACATATGAGTGGAGGTTTGGAAATGTCTTGGAGAGATGGCAGTGCGGTTTTTGACTCAAATATTCAATGGCATATTTGAAGGAGAGAAAATGCCTCAGGAATGGAGAAGAAGTGTGCTGGTGCCCATTTTTAAGAACAAGGGTGATGTACAGAGTTGTAGCAACTACAGGGGAATTAAGTTGATGAGCCATGTGTGTGTGTCAGAGTCCATCATGAATGTGTGTGTGTCAGAGTCCATCATGAATGTGTGTGTGTCAGAGTCCATCATGAATGTGTGTGTGTCAGTCCATC